TTTCTCCATATAACCACTCGGATACAGGTAATAAGGTTGGGGACAAGGTAGGCAACAACCAAATCTGCAGTAATCAGAGTCCAGGGTCAGCGAATTGTTGCTTGTGAACAAGGTGTCTTCCACGAGGGGGGGAAAGCATCGTGGGCTGGACTTGAATTTTTGCCCGGAGTTGCAGTAGGAAGTCGGAAACTGCACGTTCAAAGGTGGAGTGGAACTGATGTTGGAACAGTCCATAGGATACAAAAATAATGGTTTGATATAACCCAATACTAATGGATCCGTAGATTGTGAACATTGTTGGTTTACATTTGTGCATGTCGATTGGCAAGGGAGGCTGATTTTGACGGCTTGCGGTATGGCTATCATAGCATGGAGAGCGTATGCGTACGTACAGTAAGTCACGAGTTACCACAAAGAGCAATATGACGATCAATACGTACAATCGGGAGACGATTCCTCCTTGAAGCACTTTGGATAGGCCACGCTACACGCAAAGCTCGTGAACGCATCAATGCACGACGAGGAATTACCAGCTATCAATGAAAGTCCTTGAGCGACTTTAAGGTTCCCCAGCGAATTCTCGATTTCTTCAAGAGACACCGTTCCGTTGAGATAGATATAATCGTCACCTGTTATATAATTCTAGTTGAATGAAGAAATTGATTCATACAAGGGACATCCGCGACCAATCGATAAAACTCAGTTATCACACGCATTTACTTACAGAGCATACACCGTCATCAAGGTAAGGTCTGCATGTTGCTGCATTAATAAAATCCATTTTCCCTGGTCAGTAAAACCAATTCTACTTAAGACCGAATATTGGCAAATGAGAAAACTTACGTTCTCCGCGAACACCCCACAATAATCTTGTCGTCAGCAATAAAAATGAAAAGAAATTATTTCGCAGAAATCTCATGATAAAATATTTCTTCGATTGTTATCATTCCAAGTCCACACTCTTAATGTCTGTTTTATGATATGATAGTCTTGATGAAACTTTTGATTTTATATAGTCCAAGTTGAATGCGCCTTATTCGTCAAGAATAAGCTAAGCTATTACTTGGTAAATTAGGCCTTTCTCAGATGAGTCCATAAGTGATGTAAAAATGGGTCGAATACAAAATGGATTATATATTCATCAAACATAAAAACCACCCAATTCTTGATACCAAATGTGGCAAATACGGTTACAATTCATATATAATTAATACACGGGGAAATATTGGTCAGAAAGATGGAGAAAATTCCATAGAACTCAAGTCACTTGAACAAAATAGGTGCATTATCCTTTTATCGTTTAAAATAAATTTCCTTTTACAATGATTCAATGCCGAATATTTAAAATAATATCTCGAAGGAAACGCATGGTTAACGTGAACCGGATTTTGAGGAAAAGTCAATATCAATTATCAAACAAGAATTCAATGTTCAAGGTTACCACCAACTATGGCAATTAATTTAATATCAATTTGTAAAGGAAACAAATATGGACAATCTGTAAATCGAATGCCGCGTGATACAGCATGTGCATACATGCGAACATCATAATTAATGGTAAAAAAAAAAAGTGCGATCACGTTTTCTACTGTATTTGATTAAAAAAAAAAAACAACCGATTAATTCAAAAAGCAATTTTTTTTTAATTAATTATTTTTTAATTCGGAATTTTTAATTCTAAAATTAATGTTCCATGACGATTCAAGTAATATTTTAGGTAAATACAGTAAAATGAATATGATAGTATGATTACGCGAACATTCATGCGATATATTAAGTAAAATATCACTAAAAATCATATTACAATGGTGGCTTGACCTGATTCCGATTTTCATTAAATCTGAAGACGTGAGATTAAGTTGAAAAAATTTTTTTTTTCGTGTTTAGTACGTTATTGAAGCGGGATTCATATAATAATAACATTATTACAAAAAGTCGGATATCCTTTTCATTGATTTTAAGGTTGTTAATAAGGATGTTGTTATCCGCCAAACTGGTATCACAATGTGCGTCGAAATAAACATAACAAGAACAATGTTCAAATTTTCTATTGGTTTAAATAGTAATTAATTACAAAAATTTTAAATTGCCAAATACGTCCTACCCATTTATTACTTTTATATATATATACCCCAGTTTCACGGGAAAAAAATTCAAAAAAAAAAATTCTTTCCTGAGAATGTCGTCAGAGGAAGAGGAAAAAGCTTCAATCATCGATGAACAGCCATTAACTTCTAGAGAATCGAAAGGATGGTATATCCATAATGTGGCTGTAAGTTAAAGAAATTTTGAATTCTTTATGTATCTTCTTTTGATATCTTATTTTAATTCCGTAAATTTTATTGACCTCTCGTCTTTCAGTGTGGCACATATGACGTGGCCGCTATATCGGGTACGATAAGCTTTAGCAATCGTCGGTCTTATCACGATCTACTCTGTTCTAATTTCTTTTTTTTTTTTTTTAGTGTTTATCCCCGTGATATTGGAAAACTTGGCAGCTCAAGCAGGCTACGAGCTCGATCAAAAAACCCCCTGCAATACTGTAAATATATTTTTCACGAATTGATACATAAATGCTTTCTTTCGAACATCGTTTATGAAACAAAATAAATGTAGACGGTCAAGGATTATCAATGTGTCGTAAAATTCGGTACCGGTTATGTTGACACGTCCTCCTATTCACTATACGTGATAGCATTATCCGTACTCTTTCAAGCAATTGTGTTTATCGGATGTGCTTCGTTGGCTGATTATGGGAGTATGTAGCACTCACTTTCGATGTGGTTAGCTTACAATGTCCACAATTTTTACCGTGAATTAATCGAAATGTATTGTAGATTCACGAAAAAAGTTCCTATTAACATTCTCTTACATCGGTGCGATCTCAACCATGGCCTTTATGCTAATTTTCCCACCCGTTTCTAAAAACCTATACTGGTTAGCTGGAGTGTTCACCGTCTTATCGTATGTATTCTTTATTACTTCCTCATTTCTTTACACATTAGCTCACCTTTATTATACTTCTTTTTAGAAATTGTTGTTACGGTGCGGCATATGTTTTCTTTTTGGCATATATCCCGACATACGTACGTGCCCACCCCGACATTCTAGAACTAAAGAGAGAAAAACGCGAAGATTCCGAGGAAGAAATAAGAAAGCTAGAAGATGAACTGGCTACAAATTTTGCATCGAATTCAATGGCTTTGGCGTTCGTAGCTGGCGAGGTGGTGTTATTTTGTGGCGTTGGAATATCGGTGGCGTTGAATCAGACAACTTATAGTTTACAGCTGGCACTTGGATTCTCGGGTTTTTGGTGGCTGGTATGGTTAACGTTTACGGCTTGGTGGCTAGTCAACCGACCAGGACCTCCTCTGCCTGCGTGAGTCATTTATATATATACCTGGTTATATTAGAAATGCCATTTACTTATGACACTTTCTGATTCAATATTTCACTCTTTTTCGGTTTCCTTAGAAATGAAAATGTTATTCTGTTCCCTTGGGTGAGTGTCAATTTCGCCAATTTTTAATTTACAGAGACTTAACCGCCTAATCAATTAACTTTCTTTAAAAAGAAACGAACCTATAAGACTCTTACTTCGACCCGCCACCTCTGGCAAACAATAAAGTTCTTGGCTGCTTGGTTTTTACTCTCGGACGGCATGAACACCCTCGTAACAGTTTGTGTCCTCTTTGGCAAAAAACGCCTTCACATGACCGATGTCGAACTCCTCCTGTTTGCCATAATTGTGCCTATATGTGCGGCAATTGGCATCTATGCCTATCTGTTTATTCAAAAGAGATTCAATATAACCATTAAAACGCTGATAATAGTGTCATCGTTCTGCTTTGCTATATTACCGTTATATGCTATACTCGGGTTTTGGTTGCCGTTCGGATTGGTTTCTAAAATGGAGGTTTGGGTATATATAGTATGGTTTGGTTTACACATAGGAGCCATTCAATCCTACTGTAATTCGCTATTTTCCCTGTTGATACCGCAGGGCCATGAAAATGAGTTTTTTTCTTTATATCAGATCACTGCCAAGGTACCGCATTCTTTTGATTCACATGTTGAAAAAAAAACCCCCCAATTCAATTAATCAACGTTTCTATTTTTATCCTGAAATAGGGATCAAGCTGTATCGGACCTTTAATAACGGCGATAATTACAAATGACACCCAAGATATGAGAAATTCGTATTGGTTCTTACTTGTTGTGCTGATGATACCAATATTTATAATCTTTACCGTTGATGTGGATAAAGGAAGAAGCGATTGTAAGACATTTGTTATAATGGAGGAAGAAGAGAATGCTAAGAACGTTTATAAGATTTAAGATGTTGGGTAAACTTGTGTTGTAAATATTTTTTTAGAAGGAATACGTGGCAAAAGATATTTTGCATCTTGACGATAATTCTAATGGTTAATAATTCCTCTTGAAAATTGTCATGTTAATTTATAATTTCGTTTATACTGTACAACAGCTTTTCTAACCACTATGTAAATTATATGGGCTATAATAAAGCATTCAGTGTGTATGATAGGGTTAAATGTAAACTTAAACATTGGGATTTAGGTATTTTGTTCTTCAATCACGATTTCACTATTTGCACCTAATCCAATTCTGGCGAAAATCTTAAAAGGATCATTATAGTCTTTACGCGTGATCCAATATATTTCGGTCACATAGAA